GGCAAGGTGCAAGGAGCAAAGAATAGTAGTATTGCTAAGTAGTAAATTATTTTAAAAATTAAAAGGAAAGAAAATCAAGTAAATATCCTTAGATTTTGGTTTTACCCTTAAAGCGCTGACAAGCTGAACAGTATATTGCATTTTCAGAGCTAGCCGGTATCTCATTTTGGGGTCTTGCTTTGGGAGAGGATGCTGTGTAGGATAAGGAAAGAACCTGAGTTGCAGTACCAGGTCATAGTTCATCCCCCCCCCCCCCCCCCCAGCTTTCCTTCTCAATCTACCCTGCTCACCAGCACCTAGCACTGGAAACCTCGAGGGTAAGGATTTCCGGGCAGAGCCCTAAAGCTGCACTGTTCTAAAGCTGGCAAAAGAAGTTTGAATTCTGAGGATCATTTGGATTCATGAAGAGGTAGGAGGCAGCATCAAAGTGTTGAAGAAAGGAAAAAAACTATGCTTCAAGCAGAAGAAAGGAGTGGGGGGGGAGGGAAGAGCAATGAAATCATAGCTTTTTTAGCTCATATCCTTCCCTTTAGAATTTTAAGGAAGAGTACATGTATCCTCAGAATTATTAAGGGGAAAAAAAAACCTGTAAGCTTCTCCCACTCCAGATCTTATTTTTCCCCTCTGTTGATTTGTCTCCTCCCAGTTTTAACTTCTGAACAGGTTATTTGATTGTATACATTGTCTTGCACTAAGCAATCTCTATACTAGGCAAATAATAATAATAATAATCTTCAGGGGTGGAAGGGATTTTTGTGGATGATTGTTTTATTGGTCCAACTGCGTGGTTGGGATAAAGTTAGAGAAGCTTTCAAATGTGAGGCATTTTAACAATGAATATAATTTGAAGTTTGTCTCTTCCCTGCAAACCTGAATAAGGTCCCCAGGTATTTCTGTCCAATGGTGATAAGGAAAATATGCAAAAGATAGAAAGATAGTCTCCTTTTGGAATGCAGAGGTGAAATGTAGCCTGTGTTTGTTGCCTCTGACAGAAAAGGGGAGTCATAAAACAGTGAAGGCCTTATCCAGATGTCTTATGGTACACGTGATGTTTGGCCTGATAATGCTTAAATAAAAATGAATTCTGAAAGCACTTTAAGATGAAACAATACTTACTGTATAAAAGAAAATTTTATTACAGTTAAACCAGTTGATCGGTTAACTCATTCTTCAGCTGTGGGGCACTTTTTATCCAGATGGTGCTGTCTGGAAAGGTACTTCATAAAATATTGGAGTCATTTTAAGGCATGATTTGGTTAATGCTTTCTGGTGCATTATCTTTCAGCTTGCCTTAGGTTTACTATAATAGTATTATTGTAAAGATAGTGAAATATGTACACAAAAACTAGTTTGTGATGATTGGTACTTTATCAGACACAATGTTTTTGAGCTCTTAACAAATAATTGTTTAAGTGGATTTAAGATGTCTTATATTTACCCGAAGTTCAAGCTAGGTTATTGAGAATGTAAATTGAGAACAAAATCTAAATAAATGAAAATCCCCTGATAGCTCGCCAGCTAAATATTAGAATGCCAGTTTTTGTACATAGATGCCATTTGAGGGTAGGTCTGGCAAGTTCTCTGTATATGCGAGGGAAGAATTTAACTGTAACATACAACATCTTGTTACTCATGAAATCAGCCTGAAGCTGTTGTAGAAATTGAGAAACCTACTCTTATTTAAAAGTAAGAATTCAGCAGTAACACTGTGCTACAGCAAAAAGGGTAGTTAGTTTATTGCGTTGCTGTAAGACATCTGTTGTATTTGGCTTTGGCTTGTCAGATATAAAGTTGCCACTTCATGAAACAAAGTAAGCATCTTGGAAGAAAGAGTGCAGTTTTGTAACACAGTGGGATTAAAGTTTTCTCCCCAGTTTTTTAAAAACCTATTGCTTAACACAGAATCATAGTAGCCAGAATGCAACAAAAACAAAAATACAACTTCAACAGGCAAATCGTTCCTTCCTTGTTTATTTATCACTTATTATCTGAAGATTGTATGTTTTAATTCTCCAAAAAGTATGAGATCATCGGTATGTTATTGATAATACTCAATATTAGTCTCTTCTAATGACTCTTAAACTTGTCTCCTCCCTGGTCCTCTAATCCATGTAAAATGCAGCTGCTGGAATCATCTTGCTTGCTTACCTTTTGAAGCAAGACACCCCGTATTTGAATTTCTTCCATCAGTTTCTACTCTAACAAGTTCAAGCTTCCTGTGTTCATGCCCACAAAGCTTTTCTCATTCGTGAATCTGTCCTGTCTCTTATCACGTGGTTCCCACCTGTTCAGCCCTGTCAACAAAGCCTACCCCAGTCCCATCAGTTATCTCTCCCTTCTTTTTCTTTTTCCCTTTTCAGCTGTAAGACTATTAGTGGATATTGAAGAGAGTTGTAGTTTATTATTTGTTTAAAAACCATGCAGTAATTCAGGGCTATCCAGCTTGCAGGTGGTTGGAAGCTGCATACTGCATGGGGGAGGCAAAGCCCCCACCCCACTATGTAGGCTACCGATGCCCCCTTCCTGCTCACACAGCACAGCTCTCCTCCTCTCCCAGCAATATGTATTGTGTGGGTGACCTCCCCCACTTCAAACCATGGGCATCATGGTTCTCAACTACTGCGTGCAGCTCCCCCTCCTCTCCACCACCCACACCACATGGGCAGACCTTCCCCACAGCACAGACAGCTAGCTGTCTTCCCCCTCCAACCCCAGCCATATGTGCAGCACCTGCCTCCCCCTCTCCACCTGGCCATACACACCACCTACCTGCAATGTGGGCAGCCCAGCTCCCTTCTTTGCCACACACATAGTTCAGGCATGTGGAGAATTGGGGAGGAGAGTGAAGAAGTGGCAGCTAGATGGAGGCCCAGGAGCCACTTTTGGCCCACAAGCCATGATCTGGACTCCAGTTAGATGTCTTCCTTTTGGTACAGTGTAATAGCCAGCACTAAGCTGTGTTGCAGTGGTTAGACTGGGCAGTTTGTTCAAGCATGTGGCATGTGAGGGGATAAGTTGCAGCCCCTGGGCTCCTGCTTGGCTGCCTGTTGCTTCAGTTGCAACAACAGCTGGGAGCTTCAGGCT